TGGCCGAACGCAACAAGAGAAATGGTAATCCACAGCGAAAAGTGGTCGTTTTGGTACCCTGCACGGAAACGATGTCTACGGGGATTACGACTACGCAGGCTGTAAATGGATCAACCAGAAACGGTTTTTGAAGACAGAGGCGGACCGGAAGGTCGCAGCCGATTGGCCATTCGCTCAGCTTACCCGGGTACGCGAAGGTGTTGAGCGGCTCATCGCACTGCGAGACCGGTCTGATGTGGCTGAGTTGGTCGTTGTCGGGAATGCTCCGGCCGAAGACTTCGACTTGCCGAAAGCCTACAACAGGCATTTAGGGGAGCACTACGGATACCTGATTTCGAGAGGGGTCCCGTGTGTTGACCCAAGCACGATGACGTCCCAGGTGTTCTACCACGATCAATTCCACATGATCGAGTGCTACCAGACCCTCAAATGGGGCGTTGCTGTCTACTCCGGCATTGCAACCTGTGCATTTCGAACCTTCCAGGTGATGCAGTACAAGGAAGAGATTGAACCGTTGACTGTCTTGAACGCCGGTGAGGGCGAAGGAGACTTGCAGTTGATGGAATTCCTCTTCAGGTACCCTACTATCTCGGAAGTTCGAGCTGCCGCAGACCTTTTGCTTGCCGGAAGGCGAGCCGTGGATCAGATTGAGCTGAGCCCGGCTGACATTGTGGATGCAGTCGACCAAGAGATAATGAATTGGTTGCTGCAAGAAGAAGAGGCAGACGTCGTGCGGTTGAAGGATGCTAGCCATGTGCTGGCCCAGGAGATCAACCCCGATGACCTGTTGCGATTGCCCATCGATGCAGAAGAACTGGATGAAAGTGAGCGTGATGAAAGGCGTCGCATCATCATGAAAGAGCTGTACCCAGACTTGCCTACTCCGCAGGGGGGACTCGAGCTTGTGGAAGAATATCCATGGGAAGTCCCGGACGAAGGCGACACGCTCGACTTCGACGAGTGGGAACGAGCCCTTGAGGAGAAGAAGAAGAACCCGGGTGCTAGCTCATTCATCCCACCAGTCTCAGTTCAGGTGCCACTTCCACCGCCCAAGACCGAGGAAGAAAAGGCTGACGATGAAGCCTTTGCCGATGTCCGCACCGAAAAGTCCTATGTGATCGTTGAGCATCCAGAAGAGGAGCAACCCGACTGGGACGACGATGATGCGGATTCGGCGGTCTTCAAGTCAGTGAAGGGTTCTGAGGCCAATGATGATGAGAAGCCCGAACCCATGGAGATCGACGAACAGGCCAAAGGGGAGCAGAAGAAGGCGGATGAAGAAGCCGCTCCCAAAGGCCAAGGAGAAGTCGATCAACCAACCGAAGCAGAAGGGACGGTTGAGGAGACCCCTGATGCGACGATCGATGAGTCTCAGGGGGAAGCTGCCGATGCGACCCATGGTCAGGCCACTGATGAAAAGAACAAGTCAGATGATGCCAAGCCCATGGAGGTCGACCTCACGGGAGATGATGATGCTGAGGGTAAGCCAAAGAAGAAGCCATCTGCCGGAAAGCCCAGGACGCCAAGCGTACCGGAAGGTTCGCCGAAACCCGCACTCACTGAGCTCGAAAAGGCCGCTGCTGAGGCCAAGGCTCACTACGAAGAGTTGAGTTTCGTCGACGAGAAGACCGGTCGCATCGTTGTCCGGGGGGAGCAAGAAGAGCGTGATGCGCGCTTCAAGAAATGGAAGGAGGCAGAAAGGCTGGCCATGAGGCCAAAGGCCCAGCCCAAGCAGGTGCGGCGACCCAATTTGGAGCCCACCATGCGAGCGATCGACACTGAGGATCCGAGCAAGGATTTGGAGTTCGCTCAGCTCCTAGGGCAGGAGGTCTGGCTTGGCCCAGAACATTTGCGCCAGATTCTGCGCCGTGACGTGGAATGGGGACGACTCAAGTGGATCTCCCAGGAGCTTACGTCTCATCTTCGTGGGCACAAGGAGCTGAAGGGATTTGACACCCCTGAATTCGAAGAAGACGGAAGTAAGGCCTGGAAGCCACTGATGGAATGTCTCCAGAAGCGCATCAACCAATGCAGAGAGTGGGAAGTTCTCCTGGTCATTAAGAATTCGGAGGACGAAAGGTTCGAGTTGAAGACTCGTTTGCCGGGAAACACCGTGGGAGCGACCTGGAAAGGTCTGCCGTACGAGCCTGTTGGCATCAAAGCTGTCCAGGGTCACAATCGTTGGGTGACGGACAAGCTAGGGCATTCCAATTTCATCAAACGCGTTTGCTCACTCGATCCAGAGTATACGCCAAAGATGATCGACGAAGGGAAGCTCCCACGCACCAACATGATCCCGGATCAAGAGTTCCTCTCTTCTCTGCCGAGGGTGTTGTACCACTCGTGTGACCGTGCCGCGATGGAAAGCATCATTGGCACTGGGCTGATTCTTGGAGGATTTCCGAAGAAGACTGGCAGGGCACACAACTACTTTACCACCTGCCCCCCATGGAAGGCCCAGATGCGCAAGCTTGCGGGAACGCGAGCCGGTCAGCCAATTTACCTGGCGTTCGACACCGAACTTGTCATGCAGCTCGGCTGTAGGGTCTTTGCTACACGCAAGAGCATCCTCAGTTTGGATTGGGTCTCAAATGCTGCACTGATGTATGCATACGATGCCCGTTCCAACCACTTCGTCTGGTTCAATCGAGCGTATGCCAAGACTCGGCAGAACTATCACGAAGAGATCAAGAGCCATTCCACTGATGATCCACAGTTCCGCCTGAGCAAGCTGGCCGAGGCCAGGAACTTTATGCTCAACAATGCTCGCCGCAACCAGCACCACTTGAAGGTTGGCGAAACTAATCTCACGAAGGGCGCGACCCGGATGACGGGCATCATTGATGAGGTAGCACTCACTCAGAGCCAAGCGTCCCGGGAGGGTCCGCCGCCTGAACTGACCGGCTTCATGCTGGGACAGGTTTGCATCATCGCCAATGAAGAGATGTCTGGTTGGGCAGGGAAGGGCAAGTCCAAGGGCAAGTCCAAGGGCAAGAAGGGCAAGGGCAAAGGAAAGTTCCGTGACATCGAGGACGATGACCTGATGGCGAACGAAATTGTCCAGATCCCCAAGCGGGTGTGCCCGACGCCCCTGTGTGCGACGCGCCACTATGATGGGCAGCACCGATGCGACTACTGTCGCCGGGACCTTCAGACCTGGTCAGATGCTCGATCCGCGAGCGAGTTGGCCAGGATGGAAGAAACTGCCAATCTCAATGAGTCCGTCGTTGCCCTGGACCAGTTGTCTACCAGAGCCTATCGGAAGGCGAACGTAGTCAAAGACACGTCGAAAGGTGAGCAGCAGCGAGGAGCCAAATCGGCATTCGGCCTCATCAAAAGACTCGCCGTCAACTACGTCCGAAAGGCCAAGCAACTCGGGCTTCCGGGGCCAGCCAGGCGGTTAGAAGTCGACCCGTTGTTCGCCTACAACTGCTCGACGACCCAGCTTACTGTGGGATCACTCAATTTTCTTCACCGATTGGCCCGAGCGATCTTCGCCAACCCCGGACGAAGTGCTCAAGAGAGAAAGAGAGCACTTGACGATCAAGAAAGGGAGCACCATTCCAAGCTGTGCTTCATTCCCACTATCACCCGGGATCCGGCCGAGGCCCTGTCCATCGAGGACGAGTCGTTCGTGTGTCACCACAACCGCTTCTTCAATTTGAAGCAGTTTTCGATGTGGTGCTCACTGGCCCGGACACGAAATGAACCCGTGGTTGCGGTAGAGGGATGGGGAAGCCTGGAATGCGTGCCGGAAGGCGACGCCGTTGAGATCCTGAGCGATTTGGTCGAATTTGCTGAACGCAATTGGGCCCGTGCCTGCGAGGGTACAGAGTACTCAGACACGACGATCTTTTCGGGTCGCTTCCCGGAGGTGAAGCTCACAGAGCGAAGATCCACCGCCAAGGAAAGCACGAAGACGGCCTCCGACCCAAGATCCAAAGGCAGTGGGAAAGACGCCAAACTCTGCTTCGAGTGCGGCTCGCCCGACCATCGCGCACGCGACTGCCCGGAAGTGAAGGGTCGGGGCAAGGGCAAAGGCAAAGGCAAGGGCAAGAGCCAGTATCAGGGTAGCTGGCAGAGCAGCTGGAACCAAGGATGGGGACGATCCTGGGCTCAGGTTCATGGGACTGGAGCCACTCCGGGCGATCCTCTTGACAGGGTGAAGCTGCCTCGTCATCTTCCTCCGACTGGTCGTCTTCATCCAAGGGAGGCTGGTGGAACCGCTGAGAAGCCATGTGAAAAGGGATTGAGGAAGCAGAGACAACCCTCTTGCCATGCGGACCGGAAGGTCACGCCGGAAATCTATTCGTTGGCGAGCCAATTTTCCATGTCCACATGAAGCGAGCGGGAACGCTCTGCCGTAACTCCCTCACTCAGCTGAACTTGCATGTAATTCGATGGTTTTTGCAATCCGTGTACGTTTTTCTCGAGAATGGAACGGTAAGAGTTCCCGGTGAGACAAGCGCGCCGGAAGGCATCGCCGTCATGCTTTGAAAGACCTCGTTGCTCGTTGCGACTTTGAGGTTTCTTTTGCCAGACCTACGCAAGCGAAGACTTGTCGTATGCGCCGCTTCAGAGAAAAGGATGTATCGCCCCAATTTTGCCTTCATCTTAATCTGATAATGGTAAGAGCATTTTGCATTTGTGCCGACTTGCCGCATTCGTATGCAGTAGTTCGAGGGTTGTAGTGCGGTTTGATTTCATCGCCGCCTGAGGTTGATACGTGGACACTCGTCGACTTCCTCTTCGGTGCACCGCGGCAAAGCCGCTTCGCGCCGCGGGGGGTGTTTTTTTATGTAGTGTTCCACGTATACATTGTACATTATACCTCATGACCCCGACCATTTGGCTCAAGAAAAAGGTGGGCGCTGTTGGCTGATTTCCTGTAAACATAGTACTGAATCCATGACAGTCATTTGCAGAGGTAGAGGTATGCAGTGAAACTGCCGCATTGGGCTTTCTGTGTTTAGAGACAGGCGCAGAGACGAGCATTTGAGGTCTGGCTGTGGTGAAGCATGATCCACAGTTGTACCGAAGACTGGAGGCTGCAAAGCTGCGCTTTACCAACTGAGAATCACCAAGACTTTGTTGTAGCCAAGCTAGCAGCTAGATCTAGTCCTTCGCAAGCTTGCTGGTGAAATGCCTTGGCTGTGCCAAGCTGCTAGATCAAAACAGCAAGGACCAAGGACGTTTTCTTTTGGTGGGAAGAGTGGACAACACTGAGGAGCATGTAAAAGCAGACGCGGAGGTTTCCCTTGAAGCAGTGAGACGCCTCCCAGAGCTGTGCCATGGCCGAACGCTTTTTCAACGAGAGTGCTGTTGGACAGTTCTTTCTCATGAGAAAACACCATCATAGTCCAAGGAGTTCTGCTTCACGTGGACTCCTCCGCTAAAGAACAGCAACAGTGTGGTTCGCGTTTGCCTGAGGTTCCTGGACATGCCTTTCCAAGCCCGCAATCAGCTTCCTATTCAAATAGCAGCTGTTGCACAGAGACCAGAGCCTTGGTGGACCAAGATTCGGCTGTTCTTCCTTTTTGAGGTGTAGATTCAGGAGCGGGGATTTTTTAAGGTTTGTTTATAGAGTCATGCGTGTCGTGATGACGATCGTGCACTTGGGATTTGATTCGTTGGAGCGCCTAGCTTTCAAGATTCAAAACTTGGCAAGGCCACAGTTCAAGATCCAGGATACTGTACCTGGAAGAACCCTTTGAAAGTAAAGGTCGGGATTGGTATTCAAAAGTTCTTCATCTCGCTCGCCAGAGCTAGATCACCATCCGGAAAGTTCACGATCCAACCTTTTCAACCAAGGAAATGATCAGCTTTGTCTTGCCCACGGATGACGCTCAGAGATGTTGGCATTTCAATCATCACAACGTTTAAGTTTGTGAGGAGGTTTGACACGACAGATTGTTGGATACTTTCTTGAGCACTTCAGGTAAAGCGAGTCCTGGCAGCTGTAGAGAAGGAGCCTCGCGTGCAGACCTGGACTGAAACAAGATGAGCATAGATGAGCTATGTGCAAAGTAGAGATCCAACAAATAAATAAAGGGCGTTTCACTGAAGGCAGGCGGTCTCATACGACGGTCTGGTTGGTAGGGTACTTGGACGACCGCCCCGGTTAGTAACTGTTAGAAGACATAGTAACTATACTATAACCATACTTATAAGTTGTCTAACCATACTTATAAGTCACCCAATTATCCATAACCACTTAATAACTTGCTCAACCCCTTAGATAAAGTTAATAAAACATCTAACCAGTTAGACGCTTTAGCTTGCATATGTTGCTAAGTTTTGTAACCGACTTAGGCTACTTATCTAACTGGATAGGGTCCACTTAGCTAAGTCTTCTAAGTGACTTAGGTACGACTTAGCTAAGTAGCCTAAGTCGAGTTAGCTAAGTGGGTTAGTGGACTTGGCTAAGTAGGCTAAGTCGACTTAGCTAAGTGGGCTAAGTCCCTGCTAAGTGTTTTTCAAGGATTGCTGATATAATGTTTTTTATTTACAATGGGCAATTTTCAATTGACAGCCTGTGTGTATGTGCTTTGCTTCGCAACGACGCAGCCTTGGTTTCCAAACGCGTGTGACCGGAAGGGCATGTTTGGGTGTGCCAAGAAGATTCCTTCATTCTTTCGCTGGGTTAGCTGAAAAAGGTAAAGCCAATGGACATTCTAAAGTTTTTAGCGGCTGGGAGAAGCGGAATTTGTTTTGCAGAACAGAAAAGGCATTTGTGGACTACAGGATTGGACCTGCGAGCCATAGACTCACTGTTTCATTCAATGTGTTTGGGACAGAGGAGTTGAAAGAACCACCTATATAAGAGTTGAAATAATCTCATATGTTGTTTGCTTTTGTAGTTTGTAGTTGCGTTAGGTTTTCGAACGCTTTGTTTGTCGTAGTAAATACGGTGTTATGTAAGATCTGTGGCTTTCCGTCCCGGCTTCATGTCTGGACTGGTTGCGCTGCAGCAGCTGCGGGCTAACACAGGCGCGCTAGCCCCCTATATACAGCCATCTATGGGAAAAACATGGCACAAAAACCAAAGAAGAGTTTGTCGCAACAACGACTCAAGAAATTGTAGTGTTGCTTTCAGTCAACGGGTTGGTGTGTGGCAGTGACTTGCTTTTTTGGAATCAGTTGCAACCAAGCGCTTTTTGCAATCAGTGTGTGCAGTTGACTACTCCTGCATGTTGTGTTTGTTTGCTAGACATGATTCCAGCGTTGCTCACTCGTGTTTTGGTATTTTTTGGCTCTCAGATTTGTCTGGCTCAGTACGCAGCGTTTTGTGAGTGCAGTGCAGGGCACGCTTGCAGGGCTTTGCTCGCAATGAAGGATGAGGTGCGAGGTAAGATTGCGGAGTTCATCAAACGCGCCGAAGAAGGTGGCCATGTTCAAGCCATGAACTCGTTGTTTGGTTTCTTGAAGTCTGAGAACCTCTTGTATGAACAGCGTGTGATCCCTGCATTGGTCCATCCCCATCCGAAAAACAGGGATGGCCTTGGTGTGCTTCCTAGCGAGTGTCACGGTTTGCTCAGTGACATCGGTGACAGTGGATGGTCTTGGAAGGAAGTGAGGGCAGTTGCATGCGAAGTCTCAGATACTGATGATGTGATGAACTTCAACCAAAGGCTGGTGGAACGTTCCCAGGGTTTGTTGCCTCCTGTTGCACCAGGAAGTGTGAAATATGCTTCACTCTCAGCCACACACACCAATATGGTGTTGCGCATGTTTGCTGCGCACCATCGACACGAAGACACCAGGTTCACAAACAGTGATCAGCTTAGCTTGGAGAAGCTTCAGCTGCACGATGTTGAGTACCATGATGCTGTCACGCATGGCCTCAAGTGGGAGATACTTTCGTCGGAAGTGATGACAGCATTTCCCAATCTCCCAGGGTTGATTCAGCTCACTTGCAACACCAGTGGCCAACTCCAAAGAAAGGAGACAGAGCTTCAGCTCTGTCTGAGGGTTTTCCGTGCATATTTGGACCAGAAGGCTGCCAAGAGTTTTGTGGGTTTCAATGATGTCAAGCAACTGCTTTTGAAAAGCAAACCAGAGTTCAAAGAATACCTACCCCATCTTTTCAATTTCGTCATGAAGTTCAGTGGGGGGGGACACGGCGCCTTTCCTGCATGAGACGGTGGACATTTGTGCAGCCTGGCCCCGGCGAGTGTTGGGCCATGAGTTCTGGGAGGCCATTAACTTCCAACCCAGCGCTTCGGATCATTTGGGTTTGCTGTTTTGTGTGTGTGTATATATTGTTTACACCTATGTTTTCGATACCAAGGGATTTTGTACGTGTCTTCTCTACTATGATGGTTTGAACGCATATAGCTGGTGAGGAAAGAGTCCACCATTGGTGCTGATCAGACATGCAGCCATTCAGTTGGCACTTTCTCCAATCGGGAAACTCGTTTCCCATTCAGACGTGAAGCGTCTCCTGTTGCATGACAAGGTCTCCAAGGCTGAATCGATGATACGCCAGATTAGAGATTTGGCCAAGGATCAGAGTGCTGAATGTTTGGGGTTGGTGCATGAGTGGGAGCGCGCTGCTTTGCTGTGTCTCTTAGACAGAAAGGTCCCGGGTATGGATGTGAAAGAGACTTTGGAAGCTCAAGCTGCCTTGCTCACTTGGAAGGTGAGGGGAACTCTTGGAGTGAACCTGACCAACGAGTGGGATTCACATTTCACCATGTCTGGTGAAGGTGCGCGTGCTTCATCTTCGAAAGGTGATGATGCTGGGTTGGCGAGACCTGCTGAGGATTAAACACACCTTTTGTTGTTGAAACCATGTGTTTATGAGACTACATATGTTCTCACTTTTCTTGAAACATATGAGACTATGTGTTTTTGAGACCATATGTACAACCACTACTGTGATAATTCAGGATGAGGCAATACACCAACACCGGCAAGGTTGCGAATATGAAGGATGTGGTTGAAGAGATGGGGTTCAAGGTTGGGTGCCATGTCATACGGAAAGACAAAGTCACGGCGCTAATCTTGGGTTTCAAGGATGAGTATGTTCTCCTTGATGTGAACGCGGGTGGTATGTCAGGGGAATGCCGGGTAGATGCCCAGTCATTTGTCAACAATGAGTGGACTCTCTTTACGCCCAAAACAAAGCCTGAGTTTCTGCCAGAGTATTGGGAGCATGGCCCACTGCAGAACCCTGAGATCCAACAGAGCTGCATCAGAGCCAAGATCTTGTTGGAACTTCG